CTTATATACGATATAAGATATCTTATATAGTATATAAGATATCTCATATGCTATATAAGATATCTTATATAGAAAATTAAATGAGATATCTTATATACGATATAAGATATCTTATATATCATATAAGATATCTTATATAGCATCTCATTTAATTTCTATATAAGATATCTCATAAAGTATATAAGATATCTTATATATTATATAAGATATCTCATATACTATATAAGATATCTCATATACTATATGAGATATCTTATATACGATATAAGATATCTTATATATCATATAAGATATCTTATATAGCATCTCATTTAATTTCTATATAAGATATCTCATAAAGTATATAAGATATCTTATATATTATATAAGATATCTCATATACTATATAAGATATCTCATATACTATATGAGATATCTTATATACGATATAAGATATCTTATATAGTATATAAGATATCTCATATGCTATATAAGATATCTTATATAATTCGATGAAATACAGGATCGACATTGCTCCTTGAATAAATGTTAAGTTCGCTTGCCATATTTGTCTATCATTCAAGTGATATTTAATCCAGTTAAGAACGAATATTCCGCCAAAAACATGTCCCTTTAAATACACGATTCTTGGTTTAATACCGCAGACCAACTTCAAGTTTATCTGAATCAATGTTGTTAGGCAGGCTCCATATACGATTAACTCAAACAGCATGCGAACATCAATCAAACTTAGATTACCTTAAACAAATTCCTTTTTATATTTCCGGAATCGGACAAGAATAATGAAGAATTTATTAACATCATTCAGGTTGTCGGGTTGATTTTAATAGCATCATTTCTTAATAACTATTATAACTGAACTTTGGCCACCCATGAGTGTTTCCTGATACCGGCTTCACTGAGTAGCCTATTGAAATGATTACTTAAGACAGGTAATTTGTCATATAAAAGACATGTACACTCTGTTGCACAATCCTCAGCTCAGGAGGACGCGTATTGCAGCGCTTTCGTAATACCAATAAAATTAACGGAAGTGACTTTAAGGATAGGTTGAAAAACTTACAATTACATTTGATCAATGTTTCGATATTTAGCCAGCAACGGCTTAATAAGGTTTGTGCTGTAGAACTCAGCAACTCCAGTTTCACGCTGAGCTTCGTTATACAAGAGGTTCATCGGTCCTGAATCGCTGAGACCTGCTTCTTGAACTAGACAAATTGAAATGCCTCCGTCAATTTGAGATCAGCATGGCAAAGTTTGGTTTTCTAATTAATACAAATAATTAAAATTACAATATTTAGTATGGACAATGATAGAAACGACGTTTCAAAATCGGACTGATGGAAATTGCAAGGAAGTAGAAAAAGGTCTCTGTCAATCAACAGAACAAGGCGAACACCTCAAAACATTTGTGTCCAATTTCTCCTATAGAATCTGCCACTCCGCTCCAGAGGAGAATCACACTCTTCATTGAAACAACGACATTCGATCTTTTACATTCAGGAGTGATCAATGCCAAATAAGGTAAAAATCCTTGAACTCGTATACAAAAATACCTTAGTGAAAACCAAAGTGTAAGAACATGCTATTATCCCTATTTCCCTTTAAGGCTACGTCCCTCTGTCTCGACTGGGGCTGGGGCGCACCAAACTTTAAATACCTTTGGCACTGAGATGATCCATGACATTTCGTGAAATCAAGATGACTTAAGTCGTTCTAGAATGGTAGGTTTTTGAAAGAAAACTTGACGAATGGCGGCGACCGGACAGACGCAACATTGCAAAAGCTCACAGATTTGACTTTGGACCAGGGGAGCTAAAATTGACAAAAATTGACAAAAACAAACAAAAACTCGTACATGGATTTTTTTAAAGTCGAGTGTAAATCGGTGAATTATTTCAGGAACAGAGAAATCTAATTAATTGGGATAGACCGTGTGTTTTGTTGCGTCATGCATATTCATGTAACAATGTTCGAAAACAAGATTGATGGGTTAATCACATGCAAAAGCATATTGTTTACACAGCCTCCCGTACAGCAGTAACAGTGATACACTGGAGACATTACGCATGATTTTACATGGACGCTCCGGTTGAAATATAATACATGTTGTATTGTTTAACCAGATCTGTTTAGCTGAGTCCATCCCTTTTACCGTACATACTCTCAGACGCATGTAGTTATTTTACTGTACTTCAACGATAATGTAATGACACATTCAGTCTTTATTTTTACTGACATACTGTTTTGATTACTGTAATTTAGGAAAGGGATATTTCATAAATTGGTTATTACGAGACTTGATGTAAATATTGATCGTTCTTAATCATACCCACTTGTTACACATGCGTAGAAAAACGGGCGTTTATCGGGATAGGGAGAGCATAGAATAACACTTGCGGGCGTGTCCATACGGCAACTTCCATCCATTACCTGATCAGGTGTAGATAGTACTGATATTAATACTTGTCCTCCTCTGCCTGACGCAATATATAAAACTTGTTTCAATTCAACATATAGGCATATTTTTTGTTTTATTATTCCTCTATTTTTGCGACGAGGTATTTGATTATCATTTGATACATGTATGGCCATCATGTGTTTGAGTACAGTGATAAACTACAAAACTTTATAATACTCATACATTCCTCGTTTTTATCGACACTCTCACGGGAATGAGTTTCCACAATTCGCATTGTAACGCATGCGTGCGGTGAGTAATGATACTGTAATAATACAGGCCAATCAAACGATTAATGAATTTCTGCTTCGTCAATTAAGTTTGTATTAATTGCAAAGCCATACTGACAAGTCGCTGCGAAAGCGTGGCTGTTAATACGTCGCGTGAAATGTGTTGTTGAAAAATCCATTTCAGAGACGGCTGATTAATAGATATACTACTTAATTTGTTTATCTGATTGATCCATTAGAAACTTATCTGACATCATTTGTCATTTAAAAAGTCCATACTTATGGACCATTACATACATGTACATCACAGTCGAACCATCAACATTTAAAATTTGCCATGGACAACAGACCAACATGGACATCCATGCACAACATGTTGGCTTATAATGGACAATAGACCAACATAGACATCCATGCATAGCAACAACGCGGTTTATAATGGACAACATGGCAGGAGCGACAAAGTATCCGGTTTAGTAAAGAGGAATAAATATAATATATAAACTTTATTTGTTTTACAACAATTATTAAACAAGTAATTTCAGCTTATATTAATCACTCTTGTTGGCCCGGATGTTAGCGCGCGGGTTCTTTATGTAGGAGGAAACCGAAGTACCCATAGAAAACCCACGTGATCGTGTAGGTGATCCCATACCTTTTCATGTCCAATCGGGGAATCGAACCCCGACCGCCTTGGTGAAAGACAAGTGCGCTATCTACAGCGCCGCCCGACCACCCAGAGACAGCAGACATAACCGAAGGACAACTGATTTGCTCTTAGCGAACCCATCACCAGATTGTAAGATACTGTGTTTTTTAAATTAACTCATATAACCTTCGATACTAGTCAAAGTCATTCCTGTCCGATAACTTAATAAAAGTTTACTTTAGCAAGATATCGACCAGGAACCATAAGTTCCGTGTGACCTTGAATATGGGACAAACTCGTTCCTTTTCACAAACGTTTAACACTTCATGCAAGAATGCTACTGCCCCCAATTTCATGACTTTAGGTATTCCAGTTCTTCAGAAAATAAGTTGTTTGAGCGGTTTAACAGATTTGAGCCATATGACCTTAATACGGGTCAAAGTCGTTTAGTTTTCCAAAAACTGCGGTATTTCATGCAAGCAGGCTACAATTGACCTACTAGTCTATCGACCCTCCAGCCATTTGGACTGGTATAGGTCTCAGATTGATATTGGGTAGGATATAGAAATGGTCATAATTGATAACGTCACGCCTAAATATCTAATTTCCGAAAATTGAATAGCGGAATAAATTCAACTTTTTAGAACAGATGATTTTTTTTTAAAATAATGTAACAAAATAAGGGTTATTGATCAACAATAAAAACTAAGATGACAATTACCCAAACAAATCATCTCCGAAAACCAATGGTTTCCGTTCTCATTTCTGACTCATTGGATTGTACGCGCGATCTCACGATGTACCTGTGATATCAAGTGAGGAACACTTGGGGTTCGAAAATATCACCTATTATGGCTATAACTTTGTGTGTGTGCTTCCAGGATATTTTTTTACACTATTTTCCTCTTCAATTTCAATTTCCTTATCTCGTAAACTGAATTACATTGTAGAGAAATCAAGCTAACAGGAGGACCGTGTTTCTCCTGTATAGTACATGTATATTAGAATTTTACGCAGGTTCAGAAATAGATTATGAAATATTATACAGTTTGGTCTTTCAAAGTTATATTTACGCTTGGAAATATGTAATTACCAGCCGACAAAAAACATGCATTGCCATGATACAGCATATCCTTCACCCATCGTTTTTGGTCCACACACGTTACAGTGTGCGTATCAGTTTTTACCCGTTCTAGATGCCATGTATTTTGAAATCACACAAGTCTTGCTCCGTGTTTTTGCAATCTCGCCATGTTAAGGTTGAATGACCTAATTGAGACCCTTTGTATACATAACGGCTCTGTAAGTACGTATATACTTCAAGGTAACGTTACAATCATTTTGCCCCAGGTAAATTGGGGCTGTCAGAAAGCAAATGACAAGTACTGTAGTTATAGACTATTGTTATTCTCACAAAAAAATCCGAGTGACTTCAATTATAGTGATTCATACACTTAAACGTAATCGCCTGTTGATATAAAGAGAGAGAAAATGGATCAAGAAAATAACAGTATTACCGTTCAATTGACATCACAATAGCCATGTGATATTCTATAAATAAATCCATGAAAAATTGTTCTTACAACTGTATCCCGCGTCCGGTCTGTAAAACGTTAACGGGATTTTTTGTACACGTACGTAGGTGTGGCCGCAGTGTGTGTATATGTGTATACCGATCGCGATACGTATACGTTATGAGTGAATCGAACCCCACCATGGTTGAATGACCCTGTACATGTACATGTATATTGTCGAGTTTACGCTGACACCGACAAACATCATTTAGGAGTTACGTTCATTACTACATAAACACACAAGATACACCATGGACTCATCTCTAACACTCGTCAGATTTAAGTGTACACACGTGCTTTAATAACTGTTTCACACTCTACTATGAGCTAGAAGCAAATATACACACGGACCGTGGGGTGCTAGTTCTCGAAAATCTCAACAAGCTTCATATACATACATACATGTACAACGAAAGTGAATTTGAAGGAGAACAACCGTTTGTTAAGATCCGGCTACTTGCACTGTGAAATTCGATAATGATGAACAGGTGGACGGTTACCATAAAAAGGTATGGTGTAAGCAGGGACGTATAGTGATACTGTCCCTGGGTGTAAGTGTACCTGGTGTAGTATAACTGTTGTGGGTGATAGGAAGTTTTGAAACCGTCACAGAAGTGCCGAGGGGTTACACCTGTGGTTTCGGGTAACAGATACCGGCGTACTCGCGCACTTTAAAATGTATGTGACAGGAATGTGAGAACTCTCACTATTGTACATCATACGATGACACTTGTCTTTGTTGTTGTACGTGTACCGAGGAAAAACCCGTATGGCAGTCAGGAAACAACCCGTCACACTTCAGCTTCATTGTAACTCGAAACAAGTAGTTGTATATTATATTGTTGGCTAGATAAGCCCCGTGACTGCTGAAGAGAGAACGTGTGCGCAGCACGCGCTCTGACGTATCAATCGGTATTCATATATAAATACGAAGCCTACCTTGCCAGCACTACAAACTGCCCCGTGTTATGATACAGAATGGGTTGACAATGCTAGGAATAACGGAAACAACAAGCTCAGTGTATTATTTATTGATGAACCTCTTGGTGACACCATTCTTGATGTATACTATACCGGACCATTACCAACCAAGGAGACACGTGGGTATTCGTGGAAATTTCTAGACACTTGTGTATTTACGGACACGTGGGTATCGCTCTAGAGTATATATCAACATTGCAATTAAATAGCAACGTTCACTTTGACTGAAGCCATGTAAAGGTTCAGAATGTTTCCACCAGCAGACAAATCAAGACTCTAATGATGAACGCGAGTGACAAGGACTCTGTTGACAGGGTCCCTATGGGGGACTTAGACGCCTGGAACAGAGACGAGGCCTATAAATTGATACCAATTGATGTGCTTCTTGTACTCTATGCTCTCATCGGAGTGTTTGGCAACATTGCCGTCATTTACATATACAGCTTCAAACTCAAGGTCAAGTTTGATGACAAATTCTTTATCCTCGTTCTGGCGGGAATGGATATAATTGTGTGTTCCACGGGGCCTCTGTTTTCCTTGGCTCGTAATTTGCTTCCGGTGAATTTCCAAGGCGACGTGCTCTGTAGGGTATGTTGGTATTTTGTGCGGACTATGGGAACAGCTTCCGGTATGTTACTTTTTATCATAGCTGTACAGCGTTATCTCAAAGTGTGTCGTCCTTTTGGAAGACAGATGACTTCATTTATAAACAAAGTTGCCTTGGCAGTGACGTTTGGAGTAGCTATCATGATCGACATTCCCATATTTGTCTTTTATGGAGAAACGGAAATATATGTTAGTCACCTGAATGTGACCGGATACCGTTGTGGACGGAAAGACGACGAGAGTCCGTC